GAACTCAAGGCAGCAGAGATCTGTGACTCCCTGGAGAAAATGATTGTTTTAAAAGGTGGACTCTGTGGCATTATACCCGGCTGAGACCTCTCCCTTCCCCAATCCCACCTCAAAACCTCTAGGGACTCCCCAGGCCAGGCCCCAAGGCTCCCTCCCTCCCTGAAAGGCCAACGGAGGCCTGGAAAAGGGCCCTTCCCCCACACCCTTTGACTCACAGAGCAGTTAGAAGCCTCTTCCCCCCCCCTGAACATTCTAACCTCTCTCACACCTTTGGTGTCTGAAGCAGAGCCCAAAGGGTTTTAGGGGGAATTCAGTCATCCCTGGAGCGATTTTCTCACTTTTTCGATTTTTGTGCACATAATGGAAGCATGCTGGGTATGTAGGAGAAGATTCTGAGGCCTACGGAGCTTTCTTTCCCTCAGTCTAAGTATCCGCACGGCGCCCTCTGTTGGCTATTAGAATATATGATGTGTATCAAGTTAACATGAAGGGACCGTTTTGGCATGCACAAAAATGAATACAAATGTTTAATGTGAAAAGAAGATGCAGGAGGGCAAGGAAGTTTATAGGTAAATATTTTGTGTGGGAGTGGGGGTTCCGTATACTAATGATGACTTGCTTGTCTTTCTCTCTTGAAGGTAGTCAGTTTTCTTCATACTGTTCTGTTGTGTGACAAACTGGATTTTAGCACAGCTCTCGTTGTTTGTCCACTGAACACGGCCCTGAACTGGGTGAATGAGTTTGAGAAATGGCAAGAAGGCTTAGAAGATAATGAGAAGCTAGAGGTATTTTCTGTTTGAAATGGGTTTTTAAAAAAAGTTACACTTAGTCTAAGTCATAATAAACTACCTTTCAAAGGCACAAACAATTAAACTTGCTATAATCATGACTGTTTTCTGTATAAACAGTAGTATGTAGAAAGTTTCTTTATGGAATACCTGCATTTTAAGTAGTTTGTATTGGTGCAGTACATTAATAGCATTTTTATTTGAGTTGGAAATAGGCATTTGTAACTATTTCTGTCCCATTTTGCAAGGTCTCTGAGCTGGCAACAGTAAAACGCCCTCAAGAAAGAAGCTACATGCTGCAAAGGTGGCAGGATGAAGGGGGTGTCATGATCATAGGCTATGAGATGTATCGTAACCTTGCTCAGGGGAGGAATGTGAAAAGCAGAAAACTGAAAGAAATATTTATCAAAGCACTCGTTGATCCTGGTAAGCCACAACACTTTGTGCAGATCTTGTGAAGGAAGCTTGGGTACTTCAACCCTACTATGGTGTGGTTCCGGTGCATCACACTGACAGACATGCTTTTATTTTTACATTTCATAAACGGGAGTATTATAGGATATACTAAAGCCTCCTGCCTATTCCCACTTCTTGCCTTCCTGCTTGCCATGATATTTCTGTGTGCATGCCAGCACACACAAAAACATTTAAACAATTAAAAATACAGTGACGTGATTCAGTTAGAAGCACATAAATAACTCTAGAATGAGGGCCAATAACTGTTACTGGAGGTATGCCAGATGAAACAAAAAATCTGTATCAGGGAACTATGGTTAGTGCCTTGAGTCCACACTCTGATTCTAAATCATGAGTTGGAGGCAAGGTGCATCCATGCCTGGTGGATTTGGATGCTATGGCTACAGCCATAGGAAAGTTAGGAAGTGGAGGAGGGAATAGGCGGGCAAAGAACAATATCTCCTTCCCAAACAAGGGGTTAGAGGTTTGGATTTATGAAGTCTGGAGTGGCCAAATGGTTGATATATCTTCCATGTTATTAAAGTAATAATGTAAATTTAAGTTCCGTGATGAAGGACAGATTGCATGTATTTCGGTGTTTCTCATTATTTTGGTTTTTTCAAAAGAACTGGAGGGAACGGCATACGATCTAAATTTATTTATTTGTATTAATTACAATTAATAAATAATTACAACAACAATTAAGACAACATAACAATACAAGAACAAGACATTAAAAGCAAGCTGTTGGAGTAAACAGCATTAAAACTATCCATCAAACTGAGCAGACCATTTAAAAGCTGGTAAAATAAAACCTCTAATTAAAGTCTTGGGCAAAACAGATGTATTTGGGCCTGGTGCCTAAATGAAAGTAAAGCAGTCTCCCAGTAAGAGTCAGGGCTCTTAAGGAAAGGAATAATTGCTCACCGAAGATACGGTCTTCTCCGCTTGTATTGCATTAGGATGGGGGGATACCCAGGTTCAAAGCCCTGCTTGCCATGAAGCTCCCTGGGTGGCCTTGGGCCCGTTGCTTCCTCTCAGCATAACCGATTTCACAGGGTTACTGTAAAGATGAAATGGAGGAAGGGAGAACAACACGTACCATTCTGAAGACTGGAGGAGGTCTGTGTGAAAGAGCTAAAGAGGCCAGTGGTTGTGTCTAAAAAAAAATCTGTAAACAATACTTTTCACGGAACATTTACTGGCCCCCAGGATTAATGACTGGTGACTTCCACAGGCCTTGAAAATCAGTTAACAAACCAGTCAGGGACCGGTAAGGCTTGGAAGGCAATCGGAGAACTTTTGCTGTTTATATGCTTGGGAAACAAAATTAATTGGGATACTTGCCTGGTGCAGAAAGTAATAATCTTCTTTGTGGTCTCTGTGCAGTCCCACAGTTGGGTTAAGCGCTCGTGCACGAACCTGACCTCAAGAGAATGCTAGAGCTAGCCTCTGATGCTTTTTGGTGCACTTTCCCCACCCGCTTTGGGGAGCATGCATCAACTGTTCATGCCTGGAGCTGAAGAGAAAGCGCCCTCCTGGTCAGTCCCCCCCCCCCCTTTCTTCCCCGGGAGACGCAATGTATGGAAGTGTTGTCACTGTAAAGCCAAGTTGCCTTCAACTAACGTTCATGATTTGTGCCTCTTGTGCCTGGGGGAGGGACACTGAGTGGACTGTTGTAGGCACTGTGCCAAATTCACAAAACAAGCATGGAAAAACCGGGTAGCTCAACTCCATACCCTCTTATTGAACATAAGAACATAAGAACATAAGAAATGCCAATGTTGGATCAGGCCAAAGGCCCATCCAGTCCAACACTCTGTATCCCACAGTGGCCAGAAATACCAGTGCCATCAGGAGGTCCACCAGTGGGGCCAGGACATTAGAAGCCCTCCCACTGTTGCCCCCCCCCCCCCCAAGCACCAAGATGACAGAGCATCACTTGCCCCAGAGTCCCTATCTATACCTTGTGGCTAATAGCCACTGATGGACCTCTGCTCCATATGCTTATCTAATTCCCTTTTGAAGCCGTCCATGCTTGTAGCTGCCACTATTTCCTGTGGCAGTGAATTCCAAGTGTTAATCACTCTTTGGGTGAAGAAGTACTTCCTTTTATCCGTTACATATTGGAATCATTGCTTTGCCCAGCTATACAACAGCCTCCTCAGACCCAGGCTACGCCACCTCTCCCACTGCCAATGAGGCCTTTAGGTCACATGGCATCAACTGCATTTGTTATCCCCTTTGCAAGGTTGCACACGAGACCACAACAACTATGGTTTCTGTGTCACTTCAAGCCGCTTTACCAGCCACAATCGACCATGCTCTCCATTCCTCCAGATGTCTTCTTCATGATTCTCTGGTGGACATCCACTGACAATCTCCTGATAGGCATGCCATTCCATCACCTGCCTCCGGAGGTTGTGCTTTTCATGGATGCCTCACTTTGGGGTTGGGGAGCCTACTGCAAAGGCCTTCATGCACAGGGTTGGTGGTCCGCTGCAGAGCAATGGCTTCACATCAACTGCCTCGAGTTGCTAGCAGTACATCGGGCACTGAGTGCCATCACTAGCAGGTTGAGTAGTACAGGTTGCCACTGACAATGTGGCAACCATGTACTATATTAACAAACAGGGACACTGCAACAAACAGACTGCAAGCATGTAGTTGCCCTATGGGACTGGTGCAGGAGGGAACGACATATTCCTTTTTATGTGAATTTTTTTAGATTTTTAATGTACAATAAAAAGAATAAAAACATAAAAAGAAAGAAAAAAACAAAGAAAGAAGAAGAAACAAAATTAAAAGGAATAATATCAGATTTTCTCTGCTACAGAAAGCCGTACACTTACATATTAGAACCTTAGTCCAAGTTCAGACCAGGGGCATACATCACCTTTCTGTTTAAGTATATCACCGCCAGTCGATGGGTCTCAATGTACTTCCTCCCGTCCTCGACTCCCTAACCTGGTGGGAGCAGAGATCCAACCTCATGGAAGGGGCACCCTTCCAACTGCCCGCCACCACCACAGAGACCCTGACTATGGACTCCCCCCTGTGGGGTTGGGGCACCCACATGCGAGGGCTCTGTGTGGGTGTCAGATGGAGCACTTGACACCAGCCACACCACATAGACTTCCTAGAGTTCCTGGCAATCAGGTTTTCCTTCCAGTCATTCCATTCACTCATAGAGGGTAAGGTAGTATCTGTGCTCATGGACAATACCACTGCCCTCAGCTACATAAACTGCCAAGGGGGCACCATATCCAGGAGTCTCTGCTCCCTTGTGATGGACCTATGGGCCTATTGCATAGGCCAGGGGACTTTCCCTGTCACCACTCACTTGCCTGGGATGTAGAACATCCAAGCAGACCTCCTCAGCAGAGGAGGGGCATCCCTACATGAATGGGAACTCAACTGGACCCACCTTTCGAAAAATGGGGTTTCCCTGCTGTGGATGTCTTTGCCACAAGGGAGAACCGGTGATGCCAAGTGTTCTGCTGCAGGGGAGGCACAGACCCAATGTCACTGGGGGACAGGCTCCTGTACTCATGGTCACACAAGTTCCTCTTCCTGTCTTTCATCACCAGGGTAGTCAACAAACTGATGAGGGAGAAGCCAGATTGTATCCTGGTCACACCATAGTGGCCTTGGCAAGGGTGGTTCCCTGTACTCCTACGACTATCCCAAAAGGAGATGCACCCGTTTCTACTGTACCATGACATCCTGCATTTGAAATTGACAAGTGTGGGAAATCATCTAGGATCCTTCCCTGAACTGGTGAAAGAGGCCATGATTAACAGTAGGAAACCATCCACCAGGAAATCCTAGGGCTATAAGTGGCATAAGTTTCTTGCCTTCACCCAGGACTCCACAACTTCACTGGAGCAGGCCGACCTCCCTACCGTCTTCAGTTTACTGCTCTCACTCATGGACTCAGGGTTGAGCCGCTTCTCTATGAGAGTTTATCTGGCTGCCATACCTGCATATCACCAGAAAATTAACGGCCACTCTGTTTTCACCCACCCAGACACCAAGAGGTTCCTGAAGGGGCTATTTCTGCATGTACCTCCCCCAGTCAAACTTCCAGTTCCCACATGGGACCTTCCACTGGTCCTCAGGAAACTGACAAGGAGGCCCTTCAAGCCTATGGCCATGTGTGAGCCTTGGCTCCTAGTGTGGGAAATGGCGTTCTTGGTTGCCATCATGTCAGCAAGGTGTGTAGAAGAAGAAGAAGAAGAAGAGATTGGATTTATACCCCGCCCTTCACTTGGAGTCTCATAGCGGCTTACAAACTCCTTTCCCTTCCCCTTCTCACAACAGACACCCTGTGAGGTGGGTGGGGCTGAGAGACCTCTGACACAATCTGCTCTTTTTCAAGGACAGCTGTGCCAGAGCTTGTGACTTACCCAAGGTCACATCAGCAGGTGCAAGTGGAGGAGTGGGGAATCAAACCCGGTTCTCCCAGATTAGAGTCCGTGCACTTAACCACTACACCAAACTGGCTCTCTGTGTGTAGGAAAACTCCTGGCCCTCTGACACAATCCCCCTTACCTGCAGTTCCACAGCGAAGGGGTTGTCTCGCTGGCACCAGATGTCACGTTCCTACTGAAGGTTGTGTCAGAATTTTCACCTCCATGCTGACATCACACTCCCAAACTTCTTTGCTAATCCTAAGGATGATGCAGAGAAGTTCCTCCACTCTCTGGATGTGAAACAAGCCTTGTTGTTCCACCTCAGTAGGACAAAAGCGGGACCGTCACCTTTTCGTCTCCTGTGCATTGCATCAGAAGGGCCATCGGATCTGGGCCGAAAGACTATCTAAGTGGATTGTCAGAAGAATTAAACTGTGACACCTGTTAGGAAAGCGGCCTCTGCCAGGCCCTGTCTGAGTGCACTCTGCGAGAGCGACAGCCACATCCACAGCTTTCCTCAGAGGGATTCCTCTGCAAGACATCTGCAAGGCAGCCATGTGGGTGAGGAGGGTGCTTTCTCCTCAGCTCCAGGCATGCACAGTCGATGCCTGCTCTCCAGAGTGGAGGCAGGAGTGTTCCAAAAAGCGTTTAAAGCTAGCTCTAGCATTCTCCGAGGTCGGGTTCATGTGCAGGCACTTAACCCAAGTGTGGGACTGCACAGATGACCATTTGAAAATCATCAGTTACGGGTAGGCAACCTGTTTTTGTTTTTTTTACCTTACTATTGTAGTACAGTGAAGCCGACTTCTGACACTTTTTGCCAGCTGTCTGTAAGTAGCCCTTACGTGTATTTAGGTTCTGCAGAGTAGTGTGCTCAGCGTTTTGTGAGGATGGGGTGAAGCCTGTAGTAGTCATGGGCTTCATGTCCTGCCGGTCTCAGTGGGGTTGGCTGGTCAGAAGGGCCTGATCATGCAGGGGCCCAGGAAGGACATCCAGGGGCCTGAGAAAGCACAGGCCAAGGGGAGCACAGGGATCTAGGGAAGGGAAGGTTGGAACAAAAGGGGATCCAGAATACTAAAAATGGATGCGCAGCGGGAGGAGTCTGATCCAGAAGGAGACTCGTGGGAGCAAATAGAGAGGAAAGCCGGAACTACAGAAGTGAGGAAGCTCACATTGATTTGAAAGAACTAGCCCCAGCCAAAACATTGCCCTCCGGGCCCCTCCGGTATTAAAATGTGGGTGGCGTTAGGGCTCCCCCCCCTCACTTGCCTGTTGCTCATTTGGTTGGTTTGAACATCCCCTGTTCATAAGAATTCAGGCAAAATAGTGCTAAAGTAGCCTAATGGATGACTCTGCCAGTGTGCCAGAGGGTGTGCTTTATGATGGGTCTGGCACAGTCAACATGGGTAAATTTCCCACTCCCCTAATCAGAAGGGCAGGTGGCTGACAGAAGCGCTGCCACCTGCACAAGGGCGCCTCTCTGGTTTCATTCCTGTCCATCCAGATGTGGTTTTGTTTTCAGTTACCAGTAGATGGTGTAGCAGGACTGACCTGTGCGTACTTTAGAAACGTAACTGGTTGACTTTTCATGGACTGTTTTTTCCAAGGAAATGTCTGCAGAAACTTGTTTCTTCTAACTTGGTAAATCAATTCATGTGGGTAGCCACGTTGGTCTGCAGCAGCAGAATACAGAGAGTCCAGTGGCACCTATAAGACCAACAAAGTTTTGTGCAATGTATAAGCTTTCGTGCGCAAGCACATTTCTTCAGATACAGTGAAACAGAATTTCCTCAACCATTACATATGGGGGGGGGGGTTAGTTGGCAGGAAGGGCCAATTAGAGTCAGGACAGAGACAGATGATCCTTGAAACTATTAAACTTCTTCGTTGTGCTGTATAATAATTTACTGCTCATCCTTGACATATATGTATGGGCTGGTAAGTTCCATTTTTTAATTCCGTCTCTGTTTTGACCCTTCCCAGTAACTAACCCTCCCCTCACCCTCTCTCTTACTCAGGGGTCTTTTCCTAGAAAAAGAGCTGCAGGAGCTCATTAACATACAGTATGCTAATGAGCTATGAGGCTATTCGCATAATGAGCTATTGCTCATTAGCATATGCAACGCCCCCTGACATCACCGGAAGTGATGTCAAAAGGGGAAGCAAAAGGGGGGGGGAGGCATATTCAAAAGCCTCCCCTTCCCATGGGGGGGAGCGAAGAGAGGTTTAAAGTTTAAACCCCTTCTCACTAGAGTTGGGCCACAGAAGGAGGAAAGAGGGAGAGAGTAGAGAGAAGAAAAGAAGGAAAGAAAGAGAAGGAAAGAAGGAAGGAAAGAGAAAAAGAAAGAGAAAGAAGGAGGGAAAGAAACAGAAGGGGGAAGAAGGAGGGAAA